CCCTGTACAACAACCAGATATTGCCGTTCCCTGGGTGATATGTGTGTGTGTGGGGGGGTGTACAGGGACAATGATGGCATGCTTGGACTTGTAGTTCCTTAGCTGATATATATGTATGGGGGTGGGAGGTACAGTTCCAGTGCATGTTTATATAATATGGGGGGAGGGGGAGGGGCGAAAAAAAATTTCTACCCCGGGCGCCCATAACTCTGGTTACGCCACTGCTTAGATTGTCAGCTCCTTGAAGGCAGGGACTGATGTGAATGTACAACTATGTAAACCGCTTCGTAAAATTGTCGCCGCTATATAAATACCTAAAACAAATAGAGTGATATCTGAGGAGGCCGTGCGTTGCATGCATTACTTTTTTCACTGCACAGCAATACAATGTACGGTATCGTGGTACCACACATTGTGCTGACCTGCAATGCACAGCCACTGTGAGGAGCATTGGGGTGCCATTCAAATGAATCTACAGCTAGCAATACCTGTATACTGTACCATTAGGAATCAATACATTTTAGTTTAGATCAACAATGGCAGTCTCTGTTAAAGTAAGCCTGCCATAAAAGAATTATGAGGGCTGCCAGTTCTGACCTCCTTCTGAAAATGCTTGTTGCATGTTTGTTTGGGTTCCGCAACTCAAATGATTTACAGCAACTTGCATTATCAGGAGGACAGCTTAGGAATGGCAGCCTCTAAACTTCTGTCATTTTCTTCAAAGAGTAGTGACATGTAGGGCCATATTTCTGAAAAGCCACTTTTAAGCCTGAGTCAAATGAGAAGGTTAAGAAGAAGTACTTATATGTAAATCTATCAACAGAAATGGAAGATGCACAAGGAGGAGCTTATTCATCGTACAACAGTTCAGCATTTGTTTCATCTTTCTGCATGCTCTTGATTGGTGGGCTGCATGGTCCAAGTGTAGCTTCACATGTATGATTGGTAGTATGTTTACTGGTTTTACTGTTCACTTGTGAAGTTAGATGAAGAGGCACTGTCATTTCCTTGTACCTTGTGTTGGAATATGTATACGAGAAAATGTCCCAGGCATGCAAAAGCATTACAGCCAAGCAACTAGTATTTTCAGATAAGAGATAACCAATGATAGTCTACAAACTCTTTTGATGTGTGTGTGTATACAGTATAGGAACATGTGTTAAAGTTGCAGTCCCTTTAAATGCTAACTTAGTCTTGAAGTGAATGCATAGCCAAAACTTTATATTTAATTTTGAATAGAGTAACGAAGGGTTAAATATTCCTGCCAGTTTATTTTTACTGTCTGTTGGGGAGGTTCTCCCTTCATTTCCTCTCCCAGAGTTACAAAATACATTCATAGTGTATACTGTACAAACAAATTGCCGTGAAGCGCTATAGTGTTCGGGTTTGGCCTGAAGAAAAGGTGGCAACCCTACAGAGACAGCAACAGGAAGTGAGCAGAAGTAAGCAGTTGTCTCCTGGAAACTTGACAGCAAGCTCTTATTCATACTGTATCCACAACTAAATAAAAGACGTTTTGGCTATACACACCTTATACGACTCTGGTGATAAGGGGTGTGTGTGCGTGCGTGCGTGCGTGCGTGCGTGCGTGTGTTATTCTGATACATGGCTGACTATGCCTATGTTTTCCCTTGAGAAATTACACTGCCTGTCCAAAATAAATAGTCAACACCTGGATTTAGCTAAGCAAATTGGTAAGAGCCTTCCGTTGGATAAGTGTCATGATTTGGGGTTGCTTCAGTTGGTCAGGTATACTTTCAGCAATGTTATGTCCCAAAAAAACGAGGTCAGCTGCCTACCTGAATATACTGAATGAGCAGGTTTTTCCATCAATGGATTTTTTTCTTCCCTGATGGCACGGGTATATTCCAAGATGACAATGTCAGTATTCATCGGGCTCAAATTGTGAAAGAGTGGTTCAGGGAGCATGAGACATCATTGTCACACATGAATCGACCACCACGAGTCTAGATCTTAACCCCATTGTGAATCTTTGGGATGTGCTAGAGAAGACGTTACTCAGTGGTCCGACTCTCCCATCATCACTACAAGATCTTGGTAAAAAATGAATGCAACTCTGGACGGAAATAAATGTTGTGACATTGTATACGATTATCAAAATGATGTGATGACGAATGTGTGCCGTAATCAGGATGTGTGCCGCTAAAGGCTGTCCAAGGAAATGTCAGAGTGCGTGTGGGTTGTTTTTGGACAGGCAATGTATTTTTGCTCAATGTGAAGCTGACCCACACTTCATGTCTGGACAAATTAAGAACAAGTTGTTCAGGTCTTTTAACCTTAAGATACAGATAAAATTGTGAAAATACTGTTATTGCAACTTTGCAAGCTTTATTAGAGAATTCATACACACACACACTAACACACTTATATGTACTGAATGTATATTTATTGTTTGTGTGCCTGGTATATGTGCAGCCAGTGTAGAGCTCCTGGTGTTTTACATTGTAATTGTGCTCCATCTGGTGACTGAAACTGGAAAAACATGTGTAGCATATAGATGTATTACTTACTATTATTAATATTGTTACAGTCAGTGGTTGTATTTGGATGCATATTTTATCATTACACATTATAGTTTGAGACATGCTATATGTATTCCTTTTGCCCTTATTAATGAGTTATATTGAAGCAACATGATCTGTAGCACAAAATAAGGGAGTATGAGGGGTTTAACAACAGCATTATAGTACATGATAAAACAAATCTGCTGCAAAAAGCTTACAATCAAATGTTTTGTCATATACCTAAAGTGTACAGTCTTCAGACCACTGTATCATTTCTCCTGATAATGGACTCACACCACTAACGATCCACAACTGACGAAAGCAAAAAGAGTCAGAGCAGAAAACCAGAGAAGATACGGCATGTTAAATATGTTCAAATAGATCTTGTGGGAATAGAAATATGGACGTCGCCATTGATGACTGGTTTTTAGAGGTACAGGCTCCAGAGCTGTCATTTTGGACAGTGACAGCTCCCATGTATCTATCGTCACTTGTTCCCTTTATTGATATCACAGTTCCTTATGTAGTCATTTTACATATAACCTGATAGGACCTGTAATAATATATCAGTATATCTACAGTTCTTAAAGTGGAACCACCCCAAACATGGACAACTCACATATAGTGAATCAGTTCACAGTATGAAAGGATGTCAGGTGCTTATTGTATAGTGATGAAGGGACCACCTGCACTCCATACATTGCTATGACCTATTCAGATAAGGTGGTGCTCGTAGCAATCCTTGCTGCATCCTCCTCGAGGAAGGGACCCAATGTGGCTTTATGACTGATGTGACACGTTTGCAAGAAAGCGGGATTAAGTTTGAATCCTGAACTTGTGTGTGCTGGTGAATTATCTTACAAATCCTTGAGGTACTAATTTCAGTTTTGGGCTGTGACTGTAAAAGATAGTAGATCTCTATAAGAACCATTCTTTTTCTTATCTTCCCAACACACATCCCTTAGATTTTGTTTTTATGTTTGTTTAAAAGAATATAAGTACGCATTAAATTCCCCGCATATGTAACAAATAAGCGGACATATATCAGGGAAAAGTGCCGGCCCTTTTGTAGCTTGGACTATCTGTACATCTCCCTTAGCTACCAATGACATTTGTCCTTACTGCCTAAGATGTGCATCCTTCATGTGATCGGTTACTCTGGGTAGCATTATCTTTTTTATATTATGCGACGATGGGATGTAGCCAAGACTCAGATCTCTGTAGGTTTGCTGACAGGAGGTACATTATGTTTTTATGTGTATTGGTTTTGATATTTGTTATTGGTTATTGGTTATTGAATTGTATTTGATCTTGCTTTATTTATACAAAGCTTATTAAACATTGCAGTCTAACCACTAGCTGTCTCTTATGTTGATATTACAGGTAGCCTCTTCTTCCATCGAAATTCGCTGTCCCCGCGGAGCATTGGCTACGACACAGAGCTGTCCACCATTGAACCCTCTCTTGACATCTATGATGAGAACAAAACCTGAGCCATCTTCTTCACCAGCCATTCTATCCGCAGCCCCTCTACCTCTTCCTGTATTTCCTTACACCCTATCTAATCTCCCCATTGTACGTTGACAACTCGTGCTGCCCTGTCGTGTGTCTGTGTCTGAACTGAAGAGTCGAACAATACAAAGCACAGTATCCCATCCCCTTCTGCCAATGGAACAGCTGCTGCATCATGGACTGCGAGCACTGGAGGAAGCACAAAGGAGGACAAGCAAGCCTGATGCTGTCCACTTCTATATCTTCTGCTATCAGTGTGTAAGAACTCCTAAGGAATACCTTTAGTGATATTTTTACTACAGTAGAACAGAAACTGCTGCCAAACCTCTGAGTAAGGTTCCATGGTTGGCTACGTGTCTCATTACTTGCTATCAGTGGATAAACAAAAAACATTCATACAGCAGATATTGTTCCGTGTCTGCCTTGAATTCTTCTTTTTGAGGGCTAATCCTTGTTTGCCTTTGGAGTGTGTTCAACTAATGGAGACAAAGACTTTCTCCTAGCCACAGATTTGCTTCTCCATTCATGTCATACAATGGTTGTAGGTATTTCTTGGACATGAGGGGTATGGGGACATTGGTCTTAATATCTACTGGGTTCATAAATATGCTTTTCTGGTAGTCATATTGGTGACAAACATTGTATGTAAGCACAAAATAAAAAAAAGAAATGACATCTGCAATTATAACTGAACTAAGAAAAAAGATAACATACCCTCTTATATTGGAGATCAGTGGATGGCATGTCCTGTTACTTTGGTGGTAAGTGAAGACGTGGACCCTTACATTGGTGGTAAGTGAAGTGGAAGAAGTGCCCTTTTTATATTGCTGATCAGTAGACAAATGCCCTTGGGGTAGATAAATGGGTTGGGGGTGGCACTCTACAAAAGAAATGTTTAGAATCCTGATGGTGTGGAAGATAGAAGCTCAATCTTGCAGCATCACCTTTGTATACAGGCTACTCCTAAACTACAGGTACCCTCTGCCTGCTGGGGGACCTTCTGTGAGAACTTGATATGTAAAACAGAATGGAGTGCCAAAAGGATCAGTCTGAAATGTTATCAGATATAGTTACATAGTATATAGTTACATAGTATATAGTTACATAGTATTTGAGGTTGAATAAAGACATAAGTCCATCAGGTCCAACCTATTGCGTGTGAAATACTTATTCTTAGTAGAGGTTGGTAACCAGCCTCTAATAACAAATAATTTGAATCTGAACATGTTACTGATTCATACTTTTGGTGCTTCATTCCCTTTCACAATTTAAACTTTTACATTGACAGTCATTGTTTTTCCCCTTAAGGAGGTGATCAGTGGGAAAAAGGGCCACCTCGCATGTGGTTATAAGTGGCAGGAAGAATGACTTCTTTACATTGGAGCTTAGTGGGAATAATGACTTCTTACATTAGATGGAGAATGCAGCTTATATTGGGGGGGGGGGGGGGCAATTGGGGAAACGTACACTTTTTGT